TAGAGAAATTAGGCCATCATGAGTGAGGAATATATGTGTGTGTGTGTGTGTGTGTGTGTGTGTGTGTGTGTGTATTAATTAATTTTTGTGAGGAATATTTTTGAAGTGTAAAAAAAATCATTTCATCAAAGAACAATGATTACTCTAACTTAAGGGATAGAGGGTGTTTTGTTTCATTGGTTTTTTGTTTGTTTGTTTTCAGTTTCTAAAATAATTTTCCCCCTTATTCAAATACGCTTAGGTGGCTTTATTTTGAAGTGTTTTTTAAAAGTATATATTTTCAGTATTGACTATTTTTCTGCCTTATTAATCTTGGAGGATCCCTTAATTATTTTCTGAGAAAAATGTTCCTATCAGGTGTGGTGTGCTTCCTCTTTAAGACAGCTATGCACACCACTCAAAAGTGTAATTGGTATGAAAGCCCAGGTAGTCTCGATGCCCCTTAGAGAAGGATGAGCAAGAGGAACACCTTTTGCATTGCTCCATATTTTTGTGTAATGACTAGGGAATTTTATACAATGAGAAGCTGAGCAGTGTAATCAAGATACTGCTTATCTCCCTCCCCACCAAAATTTTAAATTTTGAGCCCTACTTCGTCTCCTCAGTTGGGTCTCATGATATCCATGTCTGAAGAATAAGTGACTGGGAGGGGATTGGGCTACTTGGAGAGAGATCCATTAAAGAGGGATAGTAGTGTAGAGTTTTAGTATAGAAAGTATATCAGCAGATGGAAACTTAGAGAAATGAATCAATCGGAAATAGCAAAAAGCACATCATAGGACGTTCCCAATTAGGGCTAGTCAAAAATCCCAATATCCAGGAGTTACGGAGATTCACTCTTCCAGCTCAGAGTCATGTGAAGGTGTAGAAAAATGTATTTCTTTTAAAAAATATATTTCTTGAAATGTGATCATTCTTGGAGGCTGAAAAAATACTTACTGGATATAAAAAGGTGTTTTACAATTTAAATTCTGAAGACCAATCCACCTGAAGTACTGTGTAATTCCTGAATTGTGATTTTCAAAGGCTGAAGTTTGAGGGATTATTTATATATTTATGCAGCTTCAATGAACTTGCTCTCTTAATGTTGTTTTATAACTCAGTTTTAAGGTTGAGCTGAATATTATTCATGCCACCTTTTTTATGTTATCTCTTTAGACAAATCTTCAAACAATTTTTAACAAATAGAGTGCTAAAAGATCCCAAGCAAAGGAGATTTTTTAAATCCAATGATCTCTATGAGCTGTTTACTCTGACTAGCCCTGATCCATCCCAGAGCACTGAGACAAGTGCTATTTTTGCAGGTAACTTTACATAAAATCACTTACTTTAAAGTACTAAGCCGTACAATTTTCTAAGATAACATTAGTTGTGTTTTTCTCCTTTAAAGGAACTGGCTCAGATGTCCAGGCACCCAAACACCGTTTTAAAAGAAAGATTCAAGCAGCCTCTGGGGTAGACCATGATGTTCCAAAATGCAAAAAATTACCAGGTGCTAATATAGCTGCAAATAATGCTGTATCACCTGAAGAGAAACCTAAGTTTGCAGGAGCTGAAAGACACGCACTGACTTCTGATAGTGGCGAACCTTCGCCAGGTGACTCTCAAACAAGTAATCTTCTAGAAAGCAGTGGCACACTTCTAGCAGAGGAATGTTTGAAGATAAATGCCGTTTCTAAACTAGAAGAGCCATCGGTGATTATTGGAAACAAGGAATTTTCTGATTATCCAAGAATCAGTGAAATATGCAGGACACCTGGTGAAGAAAGCAGCCAGCTTCAGACAGCGCCTGTTGAGGAGAATAAACAAATGGGGAATAATTTTTATAAGTGCAAGTCAAAAACAAAACATCATGATATGGTAGAAGAGAAGACACTGGAGAAATATCAGAGACAAAAGGAAACGCCAAAGTCTTCTAAGCATCGCAAAGATGCCAAATTTGAAGGGACTCGAATTCCACATTTGGTGAAGAAAAGGCAGTACCAGAAGCAAGAGAGCGAGGCACAGGAACGGAACAATGATGATTATGTATTGGAAAAGCTTTTCAAAAAAGCAGGTAATCCTCTTGATAAATTTTTCACAAGTGAGCTAAGAATGGAAATGAATACTTCTAGAAATAGTAGCTGTTAATGAAAGCACTGAAAGGACTCCAAACTAGAAATATTTTTCTTTTAAAATTCTTATTTCAAATGTATTGACATTTTGAAAATAGTGTCTACTCTCTTATCTAAAGATTTACAGAATTATACATTATACACTTCAGACAACAGTACTTATCACTGCTTATGTACTACACGTTTTAAATTGATTTGTACTGTCTGAACATTAATAGCCAATTTCTCAAGCACACTTTTTGGGGGTTTTTTGTTGTTAGCAGAAATGACTATGAAATAATCCTGGGCAATTCAATATTTATTATGAACTTAGACTTTCTAAACTGATTTGTTGTTGTTGGAGGGGGGCGGGTGCCATTGAGTCGGTTTCAACCTACAGTGACCACATGTCCAGCAGAATGAAACACTGCCCGGCCTTGTGCTTCCATCACGTTGTTCTCATATGTGAGCCCGGTAATGCGTCCACTGCGTTGAGCCGTCTTGTGAAGGTGTTCCTTTTTTCACTGCGCGTACTGGTATCTCCTGACAGCATGTCCACAGTAAATGAGTTGAAGTCTCACTTGCCCTTAACTCTTAAGGCAGCATTCTGGCTGTTCTTCCAAGAGATTTGTTTAACTATTGAAAGGGATTAAAATATATAAATTTAGTTATTCATTGATGGCTAAAAACAAAACAAAACTGTAGTAGCAGCTCATCCAGAGGTCTCTTATAATAGTCACAACTGAGTTGGCATCAGCACTTACATTCGATGGCTGTGAGAGAGGTAGGTAATTACCCAAGAGAAATGGAAATAAACGTCCATACAAAGCCTTGTGTATGAGTTTCATAGTAACTTTATTAGGAATAGCCAACAGCTGGAATCGGCCCATTGTCCCATCAATAGGTGAATAGTTAAGCTAATCATTGTATATTCCGGCAGTGAATACTGCTCAGCGTAAAAAAGAAAGGAACTATTGGAATTATTGATACACACTACAACATGGATAGGTACCTCAATAATTATGCTAACTAAACTATGGTTCTACTATATAAAATTCTAAAAAAATACAAACTAATATATAGTGACAAAGCAGAACAATGGTTGCCTAGAGATAGGATCAGCATGGAGTGGAAGGATAGGATTTCAAACGACACAAGGAGACTTTTGGGGTAATGGAATGGAGGTGTTGATTTTTTTATTATAGTAATCGTTTCATAGATCTTTCAAACCTTATTAAGAAGCTTTAAATAGTTGCATTATACCTCAATAACACTCATGGAGTAGGGGGAGCAAAAGTCATGAATGAGCTCGTTGTTATCTTTTGCTTTAGTCCAACACCATAAGCTCCTTCACATAGTTATGGGGGTAAATAAAAGAAGTATTAATATAAAATCATGAAAACCTTTATTAAATAAAAAATCAAAATAAGGAGCTCTTGTCTCAACTTATCTTCCATTTAGTTCTATATATTTCTGAAGGCAGTGTTTTCAACAGTTTAACTCTTCCCCAAAGAATTGTGTACTCTTCCATTTAGGCCATCAAAACAGGAATTCTGGCCTCCTTGAGGGCCTCAAATCCTGTTCCTTCTCAGTGTTTGAGTTTCGGGCACAAAAAGAAGTCTGAAGAAGCTGTATCAGGGCTGCGGTGTATCCTGGGTAAACTTTGAGCATGAAGTTGGACTGTTTACTCTGATGAATTCTTGGAGAATAACCCTTGCCATCCTCATTAAAATAAGCCGGAATGTAGTTGTGATGGGAAAAAGACCTTGCCACAACGTTCCTGGCATTTTTCTCACCAATGCAATTTTCTATTTTCTTAAAAACTTCTTCATAATCAGCCACCATAATTTATCTTTTGTCCTTCAAAAAAAAGATCTCTCAAGATTATCCCTTTGGAATCTCAACAATGGACCACATGAATATCAATCTCCGTGACCTGAGGCCCAAAGAACTAGATGGTGCCTGGCTATAATTATGAAGTGCTGTGAAAGGGATTGCTAGATAGAGGGAAAGGAAAATGTACAACAAAATTCAAAATCAAAGAAAGCCCAGGCTCAGTAGAGTGATAGTGGAACCCCAAAGACTTGACCTGTAATCACCCTTCAGGTTTGAAAATTAATTCACTCCCATGACTGATCGTCAGCCAAATGATAAACAGGTCTATAAGGGGAACAGTAACACCAATGAGATACAACCATTTGAGATCACCAGGGCAGCATTTACCCGAGGACAAGAGTTCGGTAAGGTTAGGAAAGAAAAAGGAATGGAGACAGGAAACTCAGGGAACTAGTCAGGTAAATTATGTACATTGTATTAATTATTGAGTGGAAAGCTGATCTGCTGTATAATCACCACTCAATTCACAGTAAAAAGTTAAATACAAAACAACAAAACAGGGTTGTCATAACCTTATGAACTGACGTCTCTACCTTGCATTTAACTGGCCCAGCAATATCCTGTAGAACCAACTGTTGTTAGGGAAAAGCTTAAGAGAATTTGCCTGCATCTCTCCACCAATCATAGAGACACATTTGGACACATTTTGTTTGGAATAAACCTGTTGATGTATGGACTTGGACCCTAGTCCAAAGTCAGAGTCACTGCCATTATTAAGTCCATACTGTCCTATAGGAAGCCTATAGGACAGAGTAAACTGCCGTGAGTTTCTGAGACTGTAATGCTTTCTGGGAATAGAAAGCCATCTTTCTCCTATGAAGTGGCTGGTGGCAGCTCAGCTTGAAACCACTGTACCACCAGAGCTCCTAGGACCCCACCCCCAGTAGCAATACTTTTTGACTTTACGGAACTCTCTTCTCCAAAAGTAAGAAACCTGTTGGCCATTATTCTCAATATATTGACATCTAGGATGTACAAGTAGCAGTTTTATAATTGTTAGCTCTTAACTACTGCAAAAGGAGCCCTTGGATGACATAGAAACTAGGTGTATAAGTACTAACTGCAAGGTTAGTCATTTGAATCCACCCAAAGGTGCCATAGAAAATCTACTTCAGGAAGGTCACAGCCCCGAAAAACATACGGAGTCATTTTGCTCTGTACACATGCTATGAGATGGGATTGACTCATTGGCAACTAACACCAATAACGGGGGGATTCGATATTTGTTCACATTTCTTTTTGTCAGATTGCTCCATTCAGAAGTTACTTGTGTAGATTCTTCTCCCACTGAATTGTGGTGTGTTATCTACTTAAAATAATTACTTAAAACCCATCACTGCCATCAAGTTGATTGCAAATCATAGTGACCTCACATAGGGTTTCTGAGCCTGGGGACCTTTATGTGAGCAGAAAGTCTCCTCATTCTTCTGCCCTTTCACCCGGGTTTGAACTCCAGTACTTCCCAACAGTGGCAATTAGGTTTCATTTCCGATAGTTCAGTTCATCTCTTTGTACATGTGTTCCTTCTAGACGTTCCCCCCAGGATGCACACACACGTTCACTAAGTTCATGGAAAATGAAATTAGAAGGTAATTTTTTCCACAATATTTTTGAAGCCCCAGTGTAAGCATTTAAGACTATGGATTTTCTTCTAACCACTGTATTAAATACATCCCATAAATTTCCATATAGCATGTTTTCATAATCACTTTTTAGAAGCTATATACTTCTACTTTGCATTTCTTCTTTAACACAGGAAATTTGTTAATAGAATCTTCTGCTTTTAAATTTCTGGGTAGACAGAGGTTAAATGTTAAAGCTATGATTAAAGCATTATGATTCAATTCTGGTATTTGAGAAATTCTGTTACATGGGAAGATAATACTTAAGGGTACACGGGCTTTGAGCTAGCAGTGAATTAGAACTCTTATTTTGCCACCTTTGGACCAATCTATCCTGACTGATTCACTGTGTTCTTATCTGTAAAACAGGAATAGTACTAGTCTTTACTTTGTGAGGTGGTGGTGAGGTTAATAGGAACATCATTTGTTAAGTACCTGGGTCACGCAATAACAGGAGGTAAAGTATTCATTATTTGTACTGTTACAGCTCAGTAGAATATTATATATAAAGCATGATTGTACTTATACAAACCGAAATGTCACTTGTGCTTGTTCTTTCATTGTTAGTTGGTGTGCACAGTGTCATGAAGCATGATGCCATCGTGGATGGAGCCAGTGCGGATTATGTGCTGGTGGAGGCCGAGGCCACCAGAGTGGCCCAGGATGCTTTGAGAGCACTGAGACACTCACGTCAGCACTGTCTGGGAGCTGTGTCTGGTGTGCCAACCTGGACAGGCCAACAGGGGATTTCTGGCGTGCCAGCAGTAGTAAAGTAAGAGGTTGCTGCCCTTCTGGGCTTGTGACAAGGTGAGGTAATTATGCTTGAGCTAGAGTTAGGACAGGTGAGGCAGCTTACCTTTGAATCTCTGAAGCCATAGAGAAACCCTGAAGGTAGGGTTGTAAACTGAGCTTTAATCAGCTTAATTTAGGTGACCGGAGAATGGAATTGCAGTTTTACTGACTCTTCATCTCTATCCTACTTCTCAAAGCCAGTTAGTGTTCAGGGAAAGGAGAAGATGGTGTCCTTAAAAATAGAGATACAGAATAATCACTAAACTTGAATAAGGCCATTAGTGAATTTACATTACTGTCATTTTCAGTATGCTCTTTTAGAATAATTTTCCAACTAGAGTCTGAGACTTGGTGGTACCAGCATTGGGTTGCTAATTGTAAGGTTAATGTTTCAAAGCCACCAGCCTCTTCTCGGGGGCAAAGGACGAGCCCTAAGATACAGCCTCAGAAACGATGTATTGTCGCTCTGAGTCAGAATGGACGTAATGGAAGAAGACCGGTTTCTAGTGTATATTGAATGAGAAGGTTGCTGGTTCTCCCCATGAGGCAGCTGATAATTTCCAAGAATAAAACCAAGAGAAAGGCCATAGCTAGTAAAGAATAGCTTTGTGGATAAAAAATTTTCCAGGACCATTTTAATTGCTGAATGGTTATTTTGCTTTCTTAAGTTACAAAAGTCAACATGCATATTATATTTACTGTAATTGTTTTCCTGACTTAGGAGAAGATTTGGCCTGAAGAGGAATTCTAATGTTTCTGTTAAGAATCCTTCTTTAACATCTCCAAAAGAGAAATACCAGGTAACAGGGTAGTCGTGTTTGGGGGAGTAAGACTTGCCTAGTAGGTGAATTGCTTTGAAATTTACCTTGTTCCAGATGTAAAAGGAACATGGCTACCCCTGGTATAATGATACCCTGATTACATCTCTGTTGTTTGCACTAATTTATGAAACACCTTCATTTGGCTATAAATGGGCCAGTTAACTTCCTAAAATACAAAATATTTAATCCAAGATAATGTAGCAATATCTCTGCTTTGCTCTCAGAAAGCTAACACAGGGATAGGTGAGCTGTGTGTGACTGCTGATGCGGCATGCCATTGCCAGCGTTTAAGAGGAAGCATCTGAAACCCCATGCTCTCTAAAATGAAGGCAAGAGCATTCATTGCCTTGAATGTGGTCATCCATGATTTCATGGCAGAGTGCCTGTCTCCACCCTGTTTACAACACCCTGCACACTTCAGTGCTGCTCGAGCGAGGGCCAGTACTCCTCACCTTACTCACTAGGCCAAACCCCATCAGTAAAGACTCTCCTTGGTCCTTTCTGCATAAGATTATGTTAGTGGTAAAAATTATAAACTACAAAAATCTAATTTTAGATCAACATGAGCCATTGAAGAATAGAAAACCTCTTTGGCATCCTGTATTCTTTCAACAGAAAGTGTTGAGATGTTTGCAAAGTCAGATCCATCCGTGTTGGTGTTTTAAGGGAAAACATAGGCTCAGAAAAAGTGAAAAGACTTAAAAGTGAAGTAAAATAAGTACAGTCACACTATTGTTCCTTCATGCAGAATGCCCAGGTAAAAATAGTGTTGGGAAGACAGAAGCAGAGACACAGGTGTTTCATGCTGTTGACTGCCACATGTATATATTTACACAGGTGTTTCATGCTGTTGACTGCCACATGTATATATTTATGGTATTTCAAAGCCTTTGGGGATGCAAACAGATAAATGCCACTATCTTTTTCCAGGATGGCGCTGTGAAAAACGATCACGCTCGTGAACATTTTAGTGGAAAATCAGAGGATGCTGCCTCTCCATCCGTGGCTCCCACCTCGTCATCACTGTTGACTAAAATGAGAGCTAGAAACCACCTGATTTTGCCAGAGCGCCTGGAAAGTGAAAATGTGTCTCTTCCTGAGATCTCTTCCCCTCTCCTTTCCCTCACGGAACATGATGACCTCTTGGTAGAAATGAGAAACTTCATTGCATTTCAGGCCCGAGTTGATGGCCAGGCCAGCACACAGGAAATCCTCCAGGAGTTTGAGTCCAAGTTGTCAGTGTCACAATCTTGTGTGTTTCGAGAACTGTTGAGAAATCTTTGCACTTTTCATAGAACTTTAGATGGGAAAGGGATTTGGAAGCTTAAGTCAGAGTACTGCTGAGCAACATGCCTTTTTAAGAATTTAAATTGACTTTTTATATTAGAAATTTCTGATTATTAATCTTGTGATTAAAAATCATATTTGTGTCCACAGAAGTTGGCTGCACCTGGTGTTTACTTTGAATTACAACTACCTCATAACTAAAGCTTCAAGGAAAAAGAATCTCCAAATTTCAAAGCTATGATAACCTGATTAAGCAGAAAATACTTGAAGTGATTCTTTTTCCACTATGACTTACGTCAACAATTGGGCCTACCACTTACTCCTTGGAACACGTTTGTGTTTTACCTAAATAAAAGACTGTAAGGGAGCACATCATTGCTCATTTGGAAGTGTGTGAAACAAATCTCAAGACTTTTAAAATATATTGGTACTAAAAACATGTCTTTAATATTGACCATTATTTTGATGTATAAGTTGTAAATATTTAAGTTTATGATTTGCCACTAAGAAAAGGATCAGATTTATTACCTTTCAAATGGTCACGGTAATTGCCTTCCTTCTGAGTTAGTGTTAAATTGGCAGATATCTCTATCCGTACTGAATAGAATAGCTCAATCATGAATAGTAAGATAAGCATTTGGTAGAAAGAACCCAGTTTACAATGCCTTTACTTTAAGGGTGTCTTTCCTCCTCTAAGAGTGACCGTTGATTATAAGAAAAGGATAATATATATATATTTTAATTGTTTTAATAAAAACTACAAGTACAAATAAAACAACTCATATACATGCATATACATCACTCCAGGGCCTACACCCCAGAAGTATCATGAAGTGATCAACAGCCCTCCTCATTTTTAAATGTTGATAGATGTCCTTAAATTTATTTCTTTTTATTTGTTGAGCTTACTTTTGGCTAAGGATAACGATTATATGAACGCATCCTTGTTTTCTTTTATCTGTGGTCTTCCATCTTTTGACTTCATTGTAGACTCTCTTTTGTGTTAGTGGTTTGGTTTTCAGCTGTGTGGCCCTTCTCTGGTTGTTGCTTATGTGTTTATAGTTCTGTGTTGGTAGTGTTTTCTTGTTTCCTTATTGTTATGTTATCTTCTCTCCCCCCCTTGTTTTTATTATTTTCTTGAATTCATTGTATTGCTTAAATTTCTGTATCAGTGACACAAATTTCTGTACTTATGTTTTCTTTAGCTTGATATCATCTGTATTATGTTTACTTTCATTCAGTGTCATTGCTTATTTCTTGCTTATTCTTAAAGTGGGCATATAGGTCCAGATCTTCTGTTTGTTCTCTGAGACAAGAAAGATAGCGTCCGAAGTGGGAGGAGGATGCCTGTGATTGTCTGTGTTGTAGTTGGAATATTTAGGGTTTGCTTTTAGTGTGACAAGGATCACTCCTTTTAGACAGAAGTCAATAGTCTCATCAGAATTTACTGTTTTAGGGGGCCTGACTGGTTTTATAATTTAACTTAATTTTTTGTTTGTTTTAATTTGATTCACTGAATATTAATAGAGGAAATTAAATTCTTTTTCTCTAATCTCCCACCAGTATTTACAAGTCATGGGTATTATTATGCATGTACACACACAGCCATAAAAAAATTGTGAGCAAATGGAATGAAAAGATAATAGTTTTTTTTTTTTT